ATAAATTATTATTATAATCATTTTTATTTTTATTTATTTATTTATTTTTTCTTATTGTTGATGAGATTAATCAACTTATGTAGATTTACAAATTTATAGTAGTAGTAGTAAAAGCATAAAAAACAGCCGATTCTAATAAATAAGAGATCATCATTGAAAGGAACTCAATAACAACAACAAAAAAAAACGTATTATCATTATTATCATTATTATTATTAATTACAGAGCGACGAGGAATGAATGAAAATAAAAAAAAACAACTCGTAAATCATTTTTTTTTTCAGAATAAGTAACAACAATAACGATAATAATAATTAAATATAACGGACGAATACGCAAGTTATTTAAAAAATAATAATAATGATAATAATAATGATAATAAATTTGAACTTTTTAACGGTAACGCAAAGACACAAAAACAATGAAATTAAAAACGACACAAAAAAAAAAAAAGTAATAATAATAACGCTTGGAAAATTCACATAAATCACATTTTTATTCATTTTTTTTTTAATAATAATAATAGTGATAATAATAATAATCATAAAGACAACAACGATAATAATAATAATATTAAAAAACGAAACGAAAAAACAAAAAAAACTAAAAAAAAAAAATTTTTTTCAATTACCTTTTTTTTGTACTTGAGGTGCTGCCTCCATGTTATTATTATTATTTTTTTTTTAAACAATAACTTTGATGAATATAAAAAATAATTTAAATATAAAACAAAAATATTTATTTATTTATTTATTTATTATTATTATTATTATTAATAATTTTTTTTCTAAACTTTTTTTTTTTTTTTTTAATGGCTAGTTAACGTTCGATTTTTTTTTTATTTATTTATTTAATAATTAACGTTGGAATATTTCGTTAAAGTTTATCGTAATTGTTAATAAATTTAAAATAAATCCATTCGTTATCGATTTCATAACCGGAAACGATAAATAAAGTAGCCATTTTTAATTTTTTTTTTCAATATTTTTGTTTTATATAAAATAATTACCCATTCGACATTTTTTTTTTTTAATGACGATTTTCGCGTATAAGTTCTAATACAGCAACGCCTACTAACAACAAATACTTATTTTTATATAATTTACATCGATTGCATGCCGATAATAATTGATTGATTGATTGATTGACTATTTTTAAATAAATAAATAAGTAAACAAACTTCGTTCGATAAATCAAATTTGAAAAAAAAACCGTTACGACAAGCCGGCCAGTTAAGGCAAGTCAGCTGCCATCTATTGATTAAATTTGGAACTTGTTAATTAGAATTAACAAAGTTAGGTTATGTTTATTAACGTTTTCTTTTCTTTTTTCTTTTTTTTAACGAAAAATTTTTTTCTTATGGTTTTATCATCATTATCAATAATTTAAAAAAAAAAAAAAAAAAAAAACAAATGCCAAATTATATCGACATGCAAATCGAAAGTAAATTTTGAAATTTTTATGCGTTTAATTTCATTGTAAAGTATCTTATTGTATATCATTGACATGATTATGTCAATTTTACATAATTAAAATAAAAAATTTGAACACTTGAACACTTACAATAACATTTAAAACAAATTGAATTAATTAATTAATAATAATAACAATAATAATAATAATAAACTTTTTGAAAAAAAAAATAATAATAATAGCCTTTAATAATCCACTTCCACTTCTTCTTTTTCTTCTTCTTGGTAATAAATTATTAAATAATAATAATAATAATAAATTAATTTTTTCCTTTTTTTCTTCATCTTCAACTTGTTTATATTAAAATTATTTATTATTAAAATGTCTTGA